ACCCCCTGCTAACTTGCCGACCTCCTCCACTCTTCCTACCACTCCATCCCCCACAGCTATCTCCTCCTGTACCACCATCCCCTCCCTCCTAGATTGTAAGCTCGAAAGAGCAGGGCCCTCAATCCCCTCATGTTTTGCATTGTATTGGTATTGTTCTGTCACATGTTCTGTCCCCCTTTGTAATGTACAGCGCTGAGCGAACTATTGGCGCTTTATAAATACTGTATAATAATAATAATGTCCCGGGGCACGGGAGTCCATTTAAATGAATGAATAGACTCTCGTGCCCACGCAAATCGTGGTCTGCACGGCCACACATATGTGAACCTGGCCTTACAAACATAAAAGCTTTTCGGAGAAATCGGGAGAGTAATGGAAACGTATCAAATATCAGTTCATACAGAACCTAAAGACAAATTTTATCATAGAACTGCCACAAAGATGCAACACTGATGAGACACAAACAAAAATTTACTCCAGCATGGAAGAGCTTCTATTTGCCTCTACTTTCCTTATCACTGATCTGGCAGAATGCTTAGTTTTCTAAATTGCCACAATGACAGTGCTATACAGTAAAAGTGTCTAAATAACAACTAACTGAATAATACATTGGTATAATAATAATAAAAATGGTGCAAGGTTTCTATGAATATGGCGCAAGGCTTCCTACTACATACACCCCACCAAAAATGTGTCGCTAATGCTATAGTGAGCCACCTCCATAAGGCTTTCAACAAATATGACTCGTAGGTTTGAAATTATATCGCATTGTGATGCTTTAAGAATGACTTGATTATACATTTTTTGAAAGAAAACAATTTAGTCTTTAAACCTAGTAGTTTTTTTTTTTAGAAAGGCCTAAAAAAAAAAGAAACTCTGCGCTTTTACAATCCTATTAGGTACACAATATGCATTAAACAGAAAGCAGATTACCATAACTTGAACTCTGGTTGGATACTATAGATTACTGCATTTAGTACTGCTTTTATGTGTCAGGCCAGTAAAAGTCTAGGAAACAGGAAAAAGGAGCTAAAAAAAAAACAACAGGCCTCATATGTGACTGCAATGTACGTATCTTATTCCTCATTCAATGACATATAGTTCAACAACCATAGAGTAATACAACCGCCTTGCAGCAATGGGGTCCTGGGTCAGCTACTGTTAGAAACAGTCTACATGGAGTGTGCATGTTCTTACTAGGTCTGTGTAAATGTCCTAGAGTTCTTCTGAAGTAAACACACACTGTACACCTAGGTTTATGAAAGTGGACCGTGTGTGGGCACCTCAACATCACTGGTCAGGACATTAGATTGCAAGCTATGGGAATAAAGTGAATGACTATATGAATAAATATGCTCCCACACATTGGTTGCAGAGAAGTTTATGGACAATTAAAACTATCCATTTAGCAGCTCTTTAAACATCAAAGAATCATTATGACAAGAAGGGTCATCATCACACAACTGAGAAAAGACATACTACATCCTGACCATTTTCTCACAGACGGCTGGGGCCTCACCTTCCAATCAGTTACCGGATTTTCCACAGCCAGCTCCAAACGTGGGAGTTACGATGTGAGTTTTAGCAGAATTCAAGCTTATCAGAAAGAAAACAAATTACTATCAACCTACAGAAATAAATGAATTTCCAACCAGTGGCAGCTGGTAAGATAATAGCTCGGATGAAGGCTTCTTTAAAATAAAGTGACCCCCTCCTGTCACAGCAGAATTATAGATTTCAATAAGGCCTATTTCTAGGTCATAGAAGGTGAAGCGCTCATTACCAAGCAGCACCAGACTCTTTCAAGTTTCAGTGGTCATAATGAAAGCAATATTCCATGTGATGTACCATACGGTGTGAGCCCCAAGCTGAGTGAAGGACAGGATAAAATATGAACCTATCCTTTATTAGTGAGCTCTGGTTCCTGAGAACAATGCACCTCACTGGAGTGACCCCAGTTCAAGGGGAGGAGATCATTATATAGGATATCTGGGGCCTTGTATGGGGTACCACAGAATGACATTAGATCTCCTGTGAGGGAAGGAAGGAATTAACTGTTTTACAATTCCTGATCTTCCCCTGAAGACTGAAAGCAGAAGAAGAGATTGGAGACCCCCTCTTCCCCCAAAGGATTGAAAGTAATGAGAAACTTGACATGACAATTACTGCAATTTTAATACATTACATCACCCAGAATTTACACATGGGGGGACCTTAACAGAGAGCCCAGGAGTGTGACATTTGCATGCTCAAAACACCAAATGTTACGAAGGAATCAATCTGTTACCCCGCGACCCTCTTACAGGAGCACAAAATGCTTACACAGCAAAACTCTCCATCATCTCCATTACAAATACAATATTCCAACGGCATTCAGGTGGTAACAACATCCTTGCAGAACTGCAATACTTTGCAAGAAACAAAATGTCCATTTTCCTAAAAGGAATAATGCTGGCCAAAAAAAGGCTGATCTATATTTTTTGACCTGATGATTTACAATTTTTTTAGCAAATGAAAACTTGTAGTACCAGTAGGAAAAATATAATATTATGGTTTGAAACCTCTTTTAGTGGATGACACTAAAGTATATTAAGTAAAGTCAATCAGCCTAAAACCCGAATAATCTTTATTACTTGCAGACAAACTAATATTTAAAAATTGTATGTTTGGACAACCATGTGGTGAAATTGGCTTTGTACTTCATAGCCAAGTGCACAGTAAGCATTTGAAAGATTAGTTGCTTTCATTGGTTCGAAGATCTGCCCATGTTTGGGAAGACTAAGAAATTCTATGCAGAATCAGATACAAAATGAAAATCTAACTCTGCTGGAAAATACTAATGGAGAACATCTTTAAAGAGATACTGTTACCTTACTTAATCAGAGCAAAGTGGCATTACACTAAATTCACAAAGGTAAACCACCAGAAGGATACGTAGTTTCAAAAAAATGGACAGTAAAATGGGAATTAGAAATTACAGCTACATGCCTGACAACATAGATCCTTGTGTAAAGTTTTGCGAACTGAATCTATTTTCTTTGCAAAGCATGTCACCCTTCAAACCAACCAATAATAAAGTGATTAAACAAACATGTGATACTTACCTTCTCAGTGCACAGAGCAGCCCCGATCATCTTCTTTTTGGGTCCCCCGCGGGCTGTTCTTGCTCCCCCCGCTGAATACCTCCAATAGCAAGCCTCTTGCTATGGGTGCACTCGAGCAGGCTCGCTCCCAAACTGCACTCTGTATGTCCTTTCATACATAGCTCAGCCCACCCAGCTCTCTACTCATTTGCTGTGATTGGCAGCAGCAGGAGCCAATGGCTTCCGCTGCTATGTAAACCAATGAGGAGAGAGACCCCAGAGAGCCACTGTTCACATGCACATCACTGGATCGAGATGGGGCTCAGGTAAGTTTAACCCCTAGACACTGAGCGTACGCAAATATGTGGACTCTCAGCGTTTGGGCCTAGAAAATACATATGTTGTGAGAGCGCATGCCCTGCGCACTCCTGGCACATATGTCCGTGACTCATGGAAAGGTCCCAATCTCCCCTTGCCATCGGGACCTTTTCCGATCATGTGACTGCCGTGACAGCGAAACACGGTCACATGACCCTAAATCCCCGCCCACCTCCCGGCTTCTGAAACACAAAGGGCCGAGAGGCGCTGGCGCAAATGGGTTAAGGGGGGGCTAGGGGAGGGAGCTTCACCTGAAAGGTTTTTTAACTCAATGCATAGAATGCATTAGGGTAAAAAACCTTGAGCCTTTCGAATCCACTTTAATCCTGCACTGCAGCTGGCACTGAAATCCCCAGTGTTGGATAGACTCAGACACTAGGGAACGGTGATGTCACTCCCTTTGTCACGTGACAGTACTCGGGACTAGTGATTAGCTTCTAAACCTGAGCACTCCCACATGGCAGGAGGTGACATGTTCCCCCACAGCTGCAAAAAAAGGGTATGTTGCTGGCTGTGACGAAGAAAAAAAAAGAGTGATGAGGGTGCATTAAGCAGGGTGATAATCATTGGCTTATGGGTGGGCCTCTGCAAAGTCATTTTCCTCAAATGGGCAAGGTGTCTCTTTAAAGGATAACTTCAACTTTTGGACAAAAGTAAATAAATGCACTTTTTTTGCAGGTAAAAAAAAAAAAGTGCATTTTATTATTTTTGTCTACAGGAGCCTGGAAAGCATTGCACCAGCGATCAGTAGATCTCTGAGGCCATGCAGGTCTCCTGCAGACCTGTCAGAATATCTGCTTGCTGTACAGGATGTACAGTCAAGCAGATATTCTGAAAGGATGTTTGAATGAACTAAAACGGCGCTCCACAGGGCCATGGTAGTCCATTGAAAACTACAAGCCCACAACCGCTAAGGCTGTCGGGACTTGCAGTTAATCTATTCACAAAAGTCAGTGACTGAATGATGCTGCCGTGTGGGCAGAGCCCCGCACGGCCACGCTGTTCTCAAATCTGACAAAGTATGGGGAGACTTCTCCCCGTATTATCTGTCAGAGGGAGGGGGGACGGCGTGAGAGTGAGTGGCATGCATCTATGGGAACATGTTACACGTTTCACCCTAAAAACGGATGGAACATGTAACATGCTCCCAAAGGTGAACTGATCCTTTAAGGTATGTATAGGTTTTTATTCCCATAACCATGCTTTCTTTGCCATTCATTCTGTTCACTACTTTGGGAAATGAATTCAGCAGGGCCATCAATCAGGACTTTAAAGAACCTTTGAGGAAAAGGCCCTTGAAAAACATGTGAACGCTCAGGAGCAGTTGAAGTCTTGCACCATATGGCTTCTGTTTAACTTTAATCAAACTGCCTTATGCAATTCACCTGGTGCATTCGGTGTCACCCTGTTCTCAGTGCTGGCGGAAGTTCAGCTTCAGATAAGTAAATGGAATGCAATGCAAACACAGCTCTGTATATAAATCCTTTACACGCCAATAAATACTGAAAAACACGATTGATTTTTTAAAAATGGTATAATTCCTACCTGAATCTGTCCTTTGCCCACAATCTTGTCCACAATCTCATTGTTGTCTTTGTTGAGCTTACTTTTATCATAGCACTTTTCATAACATAAGATTCGCAGATATTGTGAACCCTCCAGCTCAATTTCAAACTCCTACATGATTGAAAAAGACAGAGTTTCAAATGCAACACTCAATGTACACTGGTTTATGTAGAAAATGCTTCAGATAATTTGAATGAGAGAAGAGGAACAATCAAAATCCAGTTGTTAAAATCATAATTCTATTAGGCTGCCTTAATGGATTCATCCAAGGAGTACCAGGGGCTCAGTTACACCAAGGCAATTAGTTGTGGTGTGTTAAAAGCACGTTATGCTGTTTATCATGCATTGTGTTAAGACAGCCCATTTATCTGAACTGGCTGCCCAATGCATCACAACATGCAGCACAATAGTGCGTTTCATTGCACTGCAACACAAGTGCATTATGGAGGTGTGCATCAACGCACGTCATGCCCTAGATGTACTCAACAAGCTGTGAATAACCAGAACTTGCCTACCTAGAACAGGACCTGCTTTAGCTAGGACAACACTGGCGGTCTGTTAGTTTTAAAAATGAATGAAATAAGGGAAGTTACTAAACAAATTCTGAATGAGAATTAAAACAACTTGTTGCAGAGCAGGTTAAACCAAGCAAATATCAATATGCAGTAATTATGTGTTTGAAAACGAAAAAATAAAGCCATTCTCTGAAGCATTTAGCCTGCCAGAGGAAAACAACAACTAGGCTCCTAGTAACACCATTATATTTCTAGGATGAGAGCATTAACAGTGGAGCCCCATATCTTGTGTAAGACCTCATTCACATGGCACAAAATGCGACAGCTGAGGCCTGAATTAATTAGTAGAAAATCATTTAGCCTCCCTTCACCGTGGTCTGCACTGTCCCATAGTGGCCAATCAGAATCAAAAGTGGGCAGCACAGTGGCTAAATTGTTAGCATTTCCCCTGGCAGAACAAGCGTTGTTGGGTCGAATCCCTACCAAGGCACCACCTGCCTGCAGTTTGTATGTTCTTCCTGTGTGGGTTTCCTCTGGGTACTCCGGTTTCCTCCCACGCTCCAAAAACATGCTGGTAGGTTAACTGGATCCTGTCTAAATTGGCCCTAGTATGTGTATGTATGTATGAATAAATAAGGGACCTTAGATTGTACGCCCCTTGTGGGTTAGGGACTGATGTGAATGTACAATATATATGTAAAGTGCTGCGTAAATTGACAGCGCTGTATAAGTACCTATAATAAATAAAATAAATAAGTGTTCTGTAGGAGTCATTTTGCAGGATTGAATCAGATTAGCTGCATTGAGGCAATGCTGTCCTTACAGTAGACAATAAAGTCTAATGACTATCATGTCCAATACACGTCTTTTATTGAAATATGGTTAGCTGAGTAGTAGTTCTCAAGCACATCATCAATTCAGGGCTGGTGCACAGCTTACCTCGTTCCACTCTGGCTCTGTAGTGTCTCGGAACACTCTGGTTTTAGCTTTGCTGACAAAATAACCAAAGGAATCCACTTCTAATGTACAGTAGAGATCTGAAGGGAGACATAAAAAGGCTGTCAAATATGGGATAGTGGGGAATATCCAAATATCATTATTAATTTAATGCAGCAGATAACATATGCTGATCTTTATAAAACACCAAAACTAGCATTTACTTTGATGGGGTTCACAATAATGCTGAACAGGATCTTATTTGACAGCTGACGTGATGTCAGAACAAGCACACAGACATTTAAAGGGAAATTATAAACATTTTTGGTGCTGCCATTGCGAACTTGATTTTACAGGTAAAAGGTATGAACCTGATTTTGGTCTCACAATCCAGTAAATTACTAACATGGAAAAAAAAGATAAGTAGTTTAGATTTTTTTTTTCAGACTAGTGACATACTAGTTAGTAAAGCCATGTCAGAATGACAGCCTTGGAGCATGTGCCTTTAAAAACAAGGCAACAATAGCAGCTTATAAGTTTTGGTTCTAAATGGTTAGAGTGGTTGTAAAGGCTTAAGGTTTTTTTTTATCTTCATACATTCAATGAGACACAGCAGCTGGAGCCATTGGCCAGCAAATAAGGAGAGTGCGGGGGCGGGCCCGAGAACAAGCGGGGGCGGGCCCGAGCGGGGCTTGAGAACGAACACGCACCAGTGCATTCAGACCAAGCAGCTTGCAATTGGGGGGGCACTGGTCAAGGGGGAGGAGCCAGAAGTGCCAGTGGGGGACCAGAGAAGAGGAGGATCAGGGCTGCTCTGTGCAAAACCGCTGCACAGAGCAGGTAAGTATGACATGTTTGTTGACTAAAAAAAAAAACCCAGAAAACCAGAAGCTTTAATATCACTTTAATTTTCTGTTTCAATACATTTTTATTGAACAAATCATGAAAAACTTTACTAAATGATGAATTTTAATAGAGGGAATATAATGTTCTGTAGAATTTTCGATGTATTCTTTTCAACATTATAATATGTTTGTCCCCTGTAGCTCGCCACTCAAGTGCAAGCATGCCGACAGATTTTTAAACATGAAATACAAACTAGACACAATTTTTATAATTGCTTGTTCCAACCCATCAATGCAAGGTTAAGCTAGGATAATTCATTAGACCTATTTAGTAACACAAAACACAATGGGGGCAATTTACTAAAACTGGAGAGTGCAAAATCTGGTAGAGCTCAGCTCTGCGAAGAAACCAATCAGCTTCACCCCTTATAGAAAGCCAAAGCAAACTAACCGGTAACCATTTTTCACTGTTCTGTCTAATGCAGGCCATATATGGGTCGAATTCCAAACAAATTTTCTTTAGAAAATCGGAAATTTCATGCGTTTTGTAATCCGATGGTGCCACCATTGATTTCAAAATTCAACCAACCAATCCTTCAATTTCACATGTTGCTACAGAAAAGAATTTTAGTGGCCAAGAATTTTCTTTTCTTCCCAGGACACAGCTCATGCGGATTTCTTTTTCGATTATATTTCTCGCACAATTCTCTCATTATAGACTAGAAATTTGTTCATTTTTCAAAAAATTTCCAACATGCCCAATCACTCAATTTAATGGACGCACGAAAATCAGCTGTTTCTGTTGCCCACTAATGTTGCGAAATAGAAAAGATTTTTGAAAGAAAATTCTTTTGGAATTCGACCCCCATGTATGGCCAGCTTAACTGATGCAAGGTTAAATGTGATTGTCACTTTTACTGCACATCATCATCTCCCTTTGGACTGCTTTTTTATGAGCCTCTATGACTTTTAAGGAAATGTCCAGTTAGCTGACATTTTCATGTCAAGGTCAGGTTGTAAGGCAAGACTTTGCTCCCATATTCATACTGCAGTGACCTTTTATTGTAGTCATATGGAATGAGATTCTGCTGAACTTGTGTGTGTGATTCATCACTGGGAGACCTGATAAATATTAAGCATGACCCTGTCACAGCTGTGAGATTGGGTTAGGCCTCACATGAAAGGAGTCTGAGCTCAACATGTCAGATCCACTTAGTGGTTTTTGATCAAAAGCTATTTTACAACATGGGAGTTCAGGCAGCCTCTTATCTTCAGAGACACATCCTGTTCGATACCCTTTTTTATGGTAGAACTTTATGCTGCGTTCCAGAAAATATATATGAACTGTATAAAAAAAAAAAAAAAAAAAAAACTATGCACAGCCAAATACAGCTGCATCAAAGCAAAACATATACATTGTAAAATAAATACATTATATAAAAAAACAAATACAAATAGACACAATTGAGTTATTTTATGAATGTGTCTGAAGAATGGTCAGTGCTGATGGCGGTAATTGAGCTTCTGAAAGTAAAGCTGTCCATACACTCTTAGATTGTTGTTCGTTCAGCATATTTCTCCATCCTCATTAAACAGCACAGATCGCAGAATCTCACCCGTTTTTATTTATGTAGAAACCTTTATCCCAAAAGGAAAAAAAACAACTTTGCTGTGAATATTAAGTATTAGCTGGAATTCAGCTTCAGTATGCTACTGTATTTAAATCTGCTAGTACTTCTAACATTCCCTTCCCCCCAGACAATGCTACTGTCCAAATCTGCCTCCTGTTCTCATTCACCCAAAGTGGGGGCACTCTAATACAAGAGGTGTGTCACTGGCCCGATCAACAGGTGAAACAGATGGGAAAAAAAAACTTTAAAAAATATTACAGCTACTACATTTAATGATTGGTAAGCTGTAAAATATTACAATTTGATTTAATACCACTTTAGTACAGTCCCTGCATTAGGGTAAAAAAACCCAAAACAATTCACCACTTGCTGTGCCCCCTTCTCCAAACATTTACCTATTTCAATCTGGTGTTGTCCCCACTGGCAGCCCCGCTTTCTCTTCTCACAGGGCACACAGGCAGCAACAGTGAGAGCCTTAGGCACCTGATTTTGTCAGTCAAACCCTGTGGGGAGGGAGCAGGGGGTGTGGCGGAGACGTGCTGTGTGTGTCTATGGACGCACGCAGCCCGGCTCAGGAGCGCGTGCACCTGCACACATGTTCCCCTTATAGCATATTGCTTGCTATGGTGGCACACACAGGACAGGAGGAGTGGAAAGAGCCAGCAGGGACTCCAGAAGAACCATAGCATAGTGCAGGTAAGTATAACCTCTTATTTTAAAGCAAAAACATTTAATTTAAATAAAATTATATATTGTATCTCTATTTTAATGTCTCTCTTTTCACAGTCAGGTAGGATTTATACAGAAAAGCTAATGACTAAAGCACAGCCTTTGTAATCTATGAAAGGAAACATACATGGTTTCTTAAAATACATTCCCATCAGGGAATCTGGATGAACCTAATGTACAGAACATTCTGTACTATAGCACCAAAACTCTGCAGGACATGAGACTTTTCTGAGCTAAACATATTTTCAAATGTAAGTCTCTTTTAAAAGTCATGCTGGAGCATGTCTACATTACATGTCATGGCTGTTATCAAGAGGCTTTTTTCGTTTAAAGTGGACCCTCTGTTTGAACAGCACTGATTGGCCCTGTGCTGATCACATGCACCCTCGCAAGCAAAAAAAACAAAAAAAAAACAAAAAAAAACAAACCACTCTCTAGCAATATACACCAAACATAACATGTGCAGCTTGCCCCAAAAGCTCTGTTCTATCAGCAGATGGATTGGGGACAGTAGAAGAAAAGGAGGATCAAAGAGGACAGGATCAAACTGCTTTCTGTACAATGGTGCTAGTGAGCATAGATCACAAATTCTTCCTGTTTTAGAGTAACTGCCTGTCAGTATGAGCAGACAACTATAATGAGAGTCTGCAGGTACCTGAGATTGCACCCGTAATCTGCTGATCGTGGGTGTAATGCTTTCCAGGTTCCTAAGAAAAAGAAATAGTAAATGCACAATTTTTTATCTGCAAAAAAGTGCATTTATTATTTTTTTTTTTAAAAGTGAACATATCCTTTAACTGCTTCCTGACCGTGCTATAGCCAAAAGATGGATACAGTGCTGTCGTCCAATTCTGGGAGGGCATCCATGTCCTTCGGACACAGCTGATCTCACATCACAGTTAAAGGGCAATCACATTGGCCCTTTACCATGTGATCAGCTGTGTCTAATCAGAGCATAAATACACTTGCAGGCTATCAGCTTTTCACAGCATGTCACAGCATGAGGAAAAGTGTAACAGGGGACATCTACACTGATAATCAGGGCACTGATCATCAGTGCCCAGATTATAACTGCAGCCCTAACAGTGGCCATCAGTGCTGCCAATCAGTGCCCATAAGTGCCACCCATCAGTGCCACCTATCAATGCCCATCAGTGCTGCTTATCAGTGACACCTACAAGTACCCATCAGTGCCCATCAATGGGGCTGTGGATAAGAGGGTACCACCTGTCCTCCTGTATGGGGCCCAGGTAGCTGGGTGAATTGGATGTGGGCACGGAGGGTGATCAGCCCTGGGGGGATGCCCTCACCCCTGCAGTGCAACTGGCTTCCCTCCTCTCCTTCTAACGGGCAGCTGCAAGCATACAATAAGATCCTTAAGGGTGGAGAGTGGGAGAAGGGTCCAGTAAATATGTCATGTTTACCAGCCCCTCTCTTTCCTGAATGAACACAATGAGTGATCAGTACAGATCACTCAATGTGTTCATTCATAACTGAGGCATAGTAAACTATGCTTTTTTCTGGGAGGAGGAGGGCCCTGTCAGGTTGGCTGTATGAGGCCCTGTGGTTTCTAACAGCAGCCATGCCCATCAGTGCCCATCAGTGCCACCTCATCAGCAATCATCAGTGAAGGAGAAAAATTACTTATTTGTAAAATTCTATAACAGAAAAATGTGTTTTTTTTTCCCCAAAAAACATTTTCGGTCTGTTTTCATCTGGTTGGCAAGAAATAAAAAACCCCAGTGGTGATTAAATACCAACAAAAGAAAACTATCCGTCTCAAAAAAAAACAAACAAACAAAAAAAAAAAAACGGGTACAGTGTTGTATGATCGCGCAGTTGTCATTCAAAGTGTTAAAGCACTGAAAGCTGAAAATTGGCCTGGGCAGGAAGGGGTAAAAGTTAGAAGTATTGAAGTGGTTAAGAAAATAAATGAGAATAGAAAAAAAAAAAATTATCACAGTTCATCTTTTGCCAACAAAGATGAAAAAATATATGCATCACAATCTTGTCATGTCTTTTATGCTGAGATATTGTTTACTTAGATAAGCATAGTTTAGGGAAAGTTATAGGGCTCTTGGGAGGTCCATAACATATGGATGATGGGAATTTTACAAGCTACCCTTCTCCCTATGCTATAAGAGGGTTCATACAGATTTCTCTATAGAGAAGTGTCCTTTGCTATGCAGAGCTCCGGGACTGAGCCGAGTTCCTGGATTTAATGCTCAACCTTCTAGTGCTGTTCAACATACCTGCAGATCTCGTCAATGTCTGCTTTAGTGATTTCAGAGCTGTCCCATTCTGTGCTGCAGTCTATGATTGTTTTATAAGCCTTGGCCGGCATGCATGTATATACCATATATCATTTACGTTCGCTTAATGAAAACCTTGCGTAGCACTGGGACAATGAAGTGACCTAATCGACCTAGAAAAGAGCACTTACTGGCAGAGTGGCTGAATCCTTTGGCAGAGTGAACAATCACGTGCAGAAAACCGTACAGTCCAGAAGATTCATCATCTGCATAAACAAAGAGCATAAATAGTTATATTTTACCAACATAAGGTCAGGATAGATACTGGCCAACCCCAGAATACAATACTGGCAGAACCCAAATAATTAACATAACACGGCTACATCTGCAGTATTTAAAGCTGAACCCGAAGCAGATAGAAAACACCATTTAATACAGTTGTTTATCTCTTTAAAAAAATTATTTTGTTTTACTACAACTGTCTTCTCGGTCCCCTGTTATTCCCTGCACAGCAGAACACAGACTGGGAGAGAGATGACTATCAGTAGGATTTAATCAGTGTCTCCTGGATAGCCATGTGCTGACACGGAACATGCTGACAGCAGGACACAGCTAAGTGAACGGAGCTAATGACTTATCAGTGCGTTGCTGATCCTTCACTGACCAGTCTATAAATAAAAAAAAAATATTGCTGGGAATTCAGATTTTTAAAATACCTGTCCATGGGAGGGAAGTACACTGCTGGTGGGGGAAAAGGGGGGCAGAGGACATTGCAGGAGGGGAAGGGCCAGAGGTCATGGCTATGGGGCGGTAGAGAACACTTCTATGGGGGTGACCCTGCCCATAGTAGTTTCCTCTGCACATCAACTTCCCCCCCCCCAGTAGTGTCCTCTGCCCACCCTTTCCCCCAGCCTCCTCCTCCGCTGCTGTTGACATTCTCAGTGGACAGCAGAGAGCAGAGGACAGCGGGGCTCAGGACGGAGGGCGGGGGGAGGAGCAGGCCAAATGAGCTTTTCATATTAACAAAAGTTAATTTGGCCCGCTCCTCCCCCTCGCCCTCTGTCCTGAACCCTGCTGTCCTCCGCTCTCTGCTGTGCACTGAGGATGACAGCAGCAGAGGAGGCGGTTGGGGGAAAGGGGGGGAGAGGGACCTGTACGCAGTCTACCTGTCACCTGCCCGTGGTCGACAGGTAGACTGCGATCAACGGGTTGCCGACCTCCAATTTAAACCATTCCATTCCACTCTGGCTGTATGTTTAGGGTCATTATCCTGCTGGAAGGTGAACCTCCGTCCCAGTCCCAAGTCTTTTGCGGACCCTAACAGGTTTTCTTCTAAGTTTGCCCTGTATTTGACTCCATCCGCTGACAGCGGAAACATTAAAGAATGTTTTCACTACTAAAATACCGCATAATTTAATAATATAACTCATGTGGTATTTTAGTAGCTGTGCATTATCTTACCGCTTACTCAGCTCTGGTAAGATGCTGCTTAGTGAATTGTCCTGAACGGGGAGGGGGTGGGGTGTTCGGCCCATCATTAGTGTCCACATATCTTTGGCCATTTAATGTTAATTTGTTTGCCATTAAAAAAAAAAAAAAAAAAAAAAGACAATTTCTCTGATAATAAAGTTTTCTTGATGTCCCTCAAATGTTTTTTTTTTTCTCTACTTAATAGTTACATAGTTAGTCTGGCTGAAAAAAGACAATAAGTCCATCCAGGTCAACCATAGAGAAAAAAAAAAGTTATAATCCTATACCCACAGTTGATCCAGAGGAAGGCAAAAACCCCAGCAAAGCATGATCCAATTTGTTCCTGCAGGGAAAAAAATTCCTTCCTGATCCCCCGAGAGGCAATCGGAAATTCCCTGAATCAACTTTACCTATAAATATTAGTATCCAGTTATATTCTGTGGATCTAAGAAAGAATCCAGGCCTTTTTTGAAGCAATCCACTGAGCTGGCCAGAACCAACTCTTGAGGGAGTCTATTCCACATTTTCACAGCTCTCAGTGAGAAGAAACCTTTCCGTGTTTGGAGATTAAATTTCTTTTCCTGCAGACGTAAAGAGTGTCCCCTTGTCCTCTGTGATGACCTCAGGGTGAATAACTCTACACCGAGTTCACTATATGAACCACTGATGTATTTATACATGTTGATCATATCCCCCTTAATCTCCTCTTCTCAAGAGAGAATAAATTCAGTTCCTCTAATCTTTCCTCATATCTGAGCTCCTCCATGCCTCTTATCAGTTTGGTTGCCCTTCTCTGTACTTTCTCCAGTTCCCCAATGTTCTTTTTGTGAATTGGTGCCCAAAACTGAACTGCATATTCCAGATGAGGTGTTACTAATGATCTGTACAGGGGTAATATGATATCTCTCTCTCTGGAGTCTATACCTCTTTTATACAAGAGATGATTTTGCTCGCTTTAGAAGCCACAGCTTGGCATTGCATGCCATTATTAAGCTTGTGATCTACCAGAACTCCCAGATCCTTCTCCACCATTGATTCCCCCAGTTGTATTGCTATATAAAGTGGGGGGGGGGGGGCATTTATCAATTCTGTCACATTGCAAGGCAAACTTGTCTGAACAATGGGATTTTACTGTCCCACCCGAACCACAAATGTAAACGAGCCCTTACTGTCCTGAGCCCCTATAAGGCTACTTCCACACTGATGCACTGCTGTTTACCCGTAATGTGGATCAGTGTGAAAGCAGCCCAACAGTTTTTAACCCTTTTATAGGTGATAATACGCCCATTGCAAAAGCACAGTGTATGTGTTGTATAATACATTGACCTTCTTTTCCTCTTCCAGCTTTTGCTGGCATCGCTCTCCAGGCTGCTAGAAAGGTCCCAGGTGAAATGCACTTAGTATCACTCTGGGACAGAAGCCGGCACTACAGAGAGCTGCTCCCTCTGCGGCTGGATGCTTTATCTGCTGCCAGCGCCGGCTCAATGCACCCGGATACTCTGGGATGGTGGGTCAGAAAGCTCAGATTTCGACCAACAAGTTGCTGACCCCAAGCACGCGCTTCCCTGGTTTGAGGTCAAGGGCCACAGCTTGAGCACCCCTGTAGTAGGAGCAGCGGGGGAGATTCACCCATGCAAGCTGTATCATGCCTTGAATGGAAGAATCTGTTAATGGTGTAAGGCCGGCTTTAATTAGAAGTTTAATTAAGAGTAAAAACCTTCAGTGACAATTCTGTTGCACATGCTGCTGAATGGAGTGGTTGTGAGACAGAAAGGCAAAGCTATCTTTGAGACAGAATCAATTGGCTGGGATTGCTTTTTCTTGGCCTGTCACTAGTGAAGGGGTGTTTCCTGCTAAGCCCCCCCCCCCTAGTAACAGGACCATGTACATTCCCTCAATGTGACTGTACTACGGTCTTTTATTAGTAATATTATTTGTTAGTAATATCATTACTGGTCTGAAAATTTGACAAATTAGTATATCTGACATGAAACACCAGTCAAGTAAGCCTTGGATGTAATATTTTTCTAAATACAAACTAGTCCAAACGTATGTAATAAAATATACACAGTCTGAGAAGACAAAGCGCAGTGTAGATGTGCTGAAACACTAACACTAGAGAATGAACAAGCCATATACTTACTCCTGCCAGGGCAATACCATGCATACTAAGATTCCTAGAAAATTACCAAACATATTTTCCTTACTTGCTTGTCCCAAATACAATTTACAGTGTGTAACAGGGGTCCCTCTACTGGCAATAGTGCAAAATTACACTGCAAAATATCTAATTCTATGATAAAAAATAGTAATGTAATACTTAGAAAATAGATGAACATCTGTAAATGCAGGATTTTCTCTAAATTCTCTTTGAAGTAAGAAATGTAGCAAACAATGAGTGTTGTTAAATTGAAACCCTATGTCTACTGCGCTCTACTGTTTACTAAGTAAAATGTAAGCAGTGGTATTTTATCCACAGAAGTACAGCATATACAGTGAGTTAGCATGTCATACCGCCTAATGGACAGCTGGAGTAAAAAGAGATTCGGTGTAGTGCATGCACAGACATACAATATGCAAATAATGACTAAGGGACATATTTATAAAAAACTGTGAATCTGATATTCACCATTCACTGTAAATTCCAGAAGCACGTTTTGATCGATTCACCACCAGTGAATGTTCATTGAAAGTTACATTCAGTGCTTTATAAATATGCCCCTTAGTATTACATGTGCATAAACACACAGTACAGTTTGAAAAAGAGACCCTTTCATTTTACCATTAATTTCAAAATCGATCTTCCCCCCAAGATTATATCTGTATCTAACATATTTTATGCATATTTGCTTGTTAAAGCCTCCCTTGTGTAGACATCCAAATCCCAGTGACTGCTTCTGGGTGCTGGCACCTTAGGGGATAGGGGAACATGCCAACATAGGCAGAAGAATCAACCTGATGCTCAAGATCTAGATAGAAAGGTCACCTCCAGAGGAAACTGACTATACAAGCAAGGGAACACTGAGCATGAACCAGTGAGAAGGTGATCAACCAAAAAATGGCCAAAAAAATGGTTTACCATGAGGAAAGAAAAGGACCCATAACCCGAAGTGGTCAGCAAGATATTGGGTTAATCCTCTACTGAAACAGGCCTCAAGAAAGAACCTAGGACAACACAGGGCCTGAACAGAAGGACCAACCATCCTGAACTGGAAGCCTTTACTCCCCTGACCAGGGTAAAGGATGAAAACACTTGTACCAAAAGTTTGTCTGGCCAAACAGCTAAGCACACCAGATAAGACTAAACAAAAAAAAAAATCTGAATTGGCTACAACACTACCTACTAGAGGTGTGCAATTACTCCTGAGACCGCCAGCAAACGCAGGGGAACCAATCCCAATAAGTCAGCATAACTAAAGGGGTAGGGTACATGTGAACCACAAACACAGGTGTAGACAGGAGAAGGACGTTAAATGTTGGTCCAACACTGGAGAGGAGGGAAGAACTAAATAAACCTGAGGATGAATTTAATACATCCTCTCTGGCACCACTGGGACACTCCAGCGTAATCCCACTTAAAAACCACCCTACCTACCCTTGAACTCAAGTTATAGGATGCAGATTGGCTGATGGAGAGGACCTAATCCCAAGAGGACAGGTCCCACAAATTACTCAAGACGTACTCTGATCCAATCAAAGGAAATCTGCAGCAGAAGACTAGCATGTTCTGCCTGTTGACAGTCCAGGGTGGTATAGAGCCATCCAGCAATGACCTGCACCTGCCACGCAGGATCTG